CCTCCCTATATTTCTGTAACTGATTCTTTACTTCAGATGCTGAGTTCTGAGAATTGTTTTTTTTTATTTCAGAAAAGAATTCCGCTCTGAGTTCCTCTATAACTTTCCCCTGGTGCTTATTTACTATTGATGCTATTAATTCATACATTTGAGCTGAGCTAGTAGAAAAGAAGTCTGCTCTGAGTTCCTCTATGACTTTCTGCTGTTGCTTATTTACTATCGACCCTATTAATTCATACATTTGACCCAAGATTGTGTCCTCTGCATTTGTTCTGGGTGCACAATGGGTTTCCTCCATATGTTTTTGCATTTGATTCTTTACTGCAGATGTTACTAATTCAGGTATTTCTTTTTTCATTTCCTATATGAGTTCCTCTGTATCTTTCTGCAGCTGTTTCTTTATTTCAGAAGCCGTTGATTCATTGCTTTCAGCTGTGTGATTCCCAATTTGTTCTGTGTTAGTGTCCTCTGCACTTGTTAGGTGTGGGCTTGGGTTCTGAGATTGCATTTTGCTCCTTCTCATTGTCATTTTGTGTAGCACTGTCTTCTGACCTTTATTGTAGATCTTTGATGCAGTTACAACCTTAGCACCTACTGAAGTTCAGGTGCAGATCTATAAATTTTGGATTTATAGAGTTGTACCTGGCTTGGGTCTGGCTGCTGTGCTCAGCTCCTTCCTACTGCAGCCCTTGAGGGTGAACCTGTTGTACCCGTATGGCAAGATGTTCTGCTCCTGGACTAGCTGGGTGGTCTGTCCCCTATACTCTCTGCAGGGATTGCAGCTGAAGGGTTTCACTCCAGGCCTGTATGCCAGGCCTGAGCTGAGTCTGGAGGGGACAAGGTGGAGTAGCGGGGAGAGGCAGCTCTCCCACACACTCAACAGTCATGGACTAGGACTGGATCTGGGGGTTCCCAGAATGCGACAGAAATTCCTAGTCTGTGGATGGGGTGTTGGGGTACTATGGAGTGATGGGGGGTGTCCAAAGCAGGTGGAAGAGTGTGTCACCCACCCTGCGCTTCGGCTGGGATCAGTAGGTCCCACTGGCACAGGGCAGCCAGAAGGTCTCCCACGCAGTCACTGCACCTGGGGTAGGACTGGGCCTGGGTGTTCTCGGAAAGCAGCAGAAATCCCTACTCGGCGGGCGGGGTGGGGGAGGTGCTGTGTGGTGGTGGGGGGCCTCCCAAGGGGGTCGAAGAGGGTCTTACCCACACTGTACCTGGACTGGGACCCGTAGGGCCCGCTGGCGCATGGTAGCCGGAAGGTCTCCCACACACTCACCGGGCCTGGGCTGGGACTGGGTGTGGGGGGTTCCCAGAATGCGGCAGAAATTCCTTCTTGGTGGGTAGGGTACTCGAGGTGCTGTAGAATGGTGTGGGGCATCCCAAGTGGGTGGAAAAGGGTCTCACCCATGCTGCACCTGGGCTGGAACCAGTAGGTCCTGCCGGCACAGGGTACCTGGAAGCTCTCCCACACACTCATGGGGCCTGGGCTAGGACTGGGTCTCAGACATATAATCCTTGAGCCATGTCTATTACCATGCACTAAAGTAGTGAAAAGGAATGGAGATTCAGACATTAAATCAAAACACTGAATTTCCTGGAGGAGAAAGTTGATAGAAACCTTAAAGTCATAGGGGTAGGTTGAGAGTTCATGAACAAAAAACCAATCTGCATTAAAAATACTTCAAAGAATCAGCAAGTGAAATCTCATCTTTTTGAAAGGTTTCTGCACTTCAAAGCAAGTCTCAATAGAGAAAAAGAAAACACTTGAACTGGGAAAAATATAGCTAACTGTTCCTCTGACAAAGGCCTTCTAGAACATATGAGGAATTAAAAACAATCAGGCCTCCAAAGGCCTGATTGAAAGACCTAATCCAGAAATGGGCAACTGAGATGAATATACACTTCTTAGAAGAAGAAATACATTCCTCTTTTTTTTTTTTTTTTTCTGCAGTGCCAGGGATTGAACTCAGGACCCTGTGCTTGCCAGGCAAGTACTTGTTCTACTGAGCTATCTCCCTGACCCAGAAGAAGAAATACAAATGCCAAGAAATCCTCAACATGATTGGTTATTTGAGAAAGGTAAATTGAAAGAACACTTACATTCCATTTCATCTCAGAAAAAATGACTGTCACGAAGAAATCAGCCAGTAACAAATGCTTGAGGGGTTGTGGGATAAAAGGAACCTTTCTCCTTTGTTGGCAGAAGTGCAGACTAGTATAACCTCTGTGGCTATCAGTGTAGAGATTCATTCAAATATTAGGATTGGAGATCCCATTCAAGCCAGCTATTCCTTTCCTGGGTATTTTTCCTGAACAATTGAAAACCTCATACCACAGCAATATATGTCCACCCATTTTTATAACAGTGCAATTTGTCATAGCTAAACCATAGAAGCAACCCAAATGCCCATAAACTGAGGAATGAATAAAGATGTGCTGTTTTTACATAATGAGGTATTATTCAGCTATAAAATAGGATAAGTTTGAGGCTTTTATTAGTAAATGGATGCAACTGAAGACCATACCCTTAAGTGAAATATATCAGACCTGCATGTGCAAACACTGTAGTGTCTCTCCAGTGCAAGAATCTGAAAGACTAAATAAAATCTGAAGGGTACAATAGACACTGTGAAAAGCAAATGAATCTGTTTAAATGAATGAGATGAGGACAGAAGAGAGAATAGGGAAAACAAGACATATCTATGTATGTATGCAGGATGGCTTGGATAATTGTACTGTGGATTTCTGCTATTCTGTGGAAAGGAGCACTTAATGTTTAATTTTTTTTCTTTTTTTGTTTGCCCCCTCTTTCTTATTAAATTCTGTAGTTTTTTGTTTTTTTCAATTTGCATGCAGATAACTGGTAATCCAACTAAAATGAAGACAATACTAAGCAATACAACAAATGCTGTCAAATTCATACTATTTTGGTTAGTGAAATTCTGTATCATTTAGAAGTTTCTATTTCTATTTTGTATCTCTTTAAAAATAAAAAATAGTAAAATTACCGGTTATAAGTCACAATATATGCAAGAGAAGCAAAATGTTAATGGTAACAAAAGTGAAATAGGCAGAATTATGTATTTAAGATAATATAATTATAATGGGACATGCAATATTGGTTAGGATATAAAAACATATGATAATCTACAAGTTGTACAAACAAGTAAACTTTGTCCAACTACATATTCACAGATCTCTAAATATGTATACATATATTATAAAATCAAATTTAAAATTATTTTTACACAGAATATGAAGTTTATACATTAAGTAATCCATTAATAAAAAACAATTAACTAACTATATTGTAATGGCCTATACCTCCAAATAATAAACTGAAACCAAAATCAAAACTACATAATTATTAACTCTACTTGGAAGTGAAAAAATACAGTTTAATTCACAAGTTTAATTAGATATACTATATATTAAGTTCAAAGACAATGGCTTACACAAAAAATACTATGTCACTGTTTTTTACAGTAAAAACTACAGTACATAGTTCAGATATTTACAAGTGACTGGCTGAAAAACACAGAAGAAATATATTCTAAGGTTTCTTCTGGGAATGTACACTCTGAAAAACCTATGAAGAAATACGACATCGAAATTTTCAGGTCTCCATTATGAGAATTTCCAAGGGATTCTCCTAATAGGTTTATATATAAGGTAAGACCCCAGTGTGACTTCTTTCATGTAGTTGATAAA